ACCATCTGAAAAGAAAAAGAAGAAAACAATTCCATTTATAATAGCCTCAAAAGGGTTTTACAATACTTAGGAATAGATTTAACAAGAGAAGTATAAGACTTGTACACTGAAAACTACAAAATGTTGTTGAAAGAAATTAAAGATATCCCTTTCAAACAGCAGCGGGAAGGCCAGGGAGGGTTGGGGGGCAGGAGGGAGGGGGTAAGAGATCAACTGAAGGACTTGTATGCATGCATATAAGCATAACCAATGGACATAAGACACTGGGGGATAGGGGAGGCCAGGGGATTGTCAAGGGCAGAGGGAAAAAAAGGACACATACGTAATACCCTTTGTAATACTTTAAGCAATAAATAATAAATAAAAAGGGTAATATGCTAATATGCTAAGGTCATTCAACTGCTCGCTATGACATGCACTGACCACTGGGGGCAGACAGTTGACTGGTTGACCAGTCACTATGACGTGCACTAATCACCAGGGGGCAGACACTCTGACCGATAGGTTAGCTTGCTGCTGGGTTCCAGCCTATCAGGACTGAGCGAGATGGGCCAGACACACCCTGTAGCCCTCCCACAGTTCCTCCCCAGCTGGCCAACCTCCAGCATCCCTCCCCAGCCCGGATCATGCACTGGTGGGGTCCTACGGCCTGACCTGCACCCTCTTGCATTCCAGGCTGAGTGACACCCCCAGCCCAAGTGCATAAATTTCATGCACCGAGGCCTCTAGTTTTTAAATAAACTATTGATGTTACTTCCAATGATGTCAACTCTTTGAGAAATTGCTCTTGCTGAGGAGTAGTCTTTAAACAAGTTTATTTTTTTCTGGACATGGTTTAGTTAATTCTGTATTGGGAAACAGATTTTCTTGCTTGCCTAGTAAATAAACCACTTAGAAACTTTTTTTTGGTTATAGTCTCATTATTTATTTATTTGCTTGTTTGCTTGTTTATTTTAATCCTCATTCAAGGATATGTTTAGAAAGTGGAAGGGAGGAGCAGAGAGACAGAGACAAAGAGAGAGAGTGAGAGAGAGAGAGAGAGAGAGAGAGAGAGAGAGAGGAGAGAAATGCCAATTGGTTGCCTCCCATGCATACCCCGATCTGGGATCAAACCCACAATCTAGGTAAATGCCCTGGGAATCAAACCACAACCTTTTGGTGTACAGAATGATGCCCCAGCCAACTGAGCAATCTGGCCAGGGCCATCTTTTTTTTTTTTGAGGCATTTTTTACTATGATGAGATGTTCCATTTCATATTTTTAAAATTTTCTGATCATTGCTTTCCTGCAATGAGACCTTAATCTAGTAATGTCCAAATATGTTGTTTTTCTCTAGCATAGCTACAGTGTTATTACATAATAAATAAAATGCTTTGCCATTTGATTGATAGCAAAATAATTCACTCTCTACTGTGCCTTAAAACTGCAGCATTCGAAGTCTACTTTTCTTGTTTTGACATGTTGGATATGTACTGGTAATTAAAAAAAGTCACTGTACAGTGATACACATGGCACTCAAAATGCTGTTGAATTATGACTATGCCACTGTGATCTGCAGTGTGCCAAGCCACAGTGCAAAGCAAAGACAGCCCCATACAATTCTGTTGTGGTTTTTCAACTCTGCCATTGTAGTGCAAAATCAGCCACATGTAGTATGTGATCAAGTGATATGGCTATGTTCCAATAAAACTTCATTTATGGACACAAATCAGAATTTCATACAATTTTCGCATGTTATAAAATATTATTTTGAGTGTTTTTCAACTCTTTAAAATTGTAAAAACCACTCTTGGCTCACAGGGCATACAAAATAAGTAGTGGACTGAATTTGGCCTGTGGCTATAGATTGCTTACTCCTGCTTTAAGAAGAAACAGAGAATTGGGTGCTTATTTGATTCATTGCAGTACAAAATCTAGTGTTGTTTTTAGTCTCAAATCTTTTCAGTTAATCATGTCACCTTCCTGCTTTTCTAAGTGTGATGAAATAGAGGGAGGCATTGCAAGACCTAACTAATAGGTAACTTTTCTGTGAAAGTCATATGAGGACTTGGATTCTTGATGAACAATATTCATCTTGAAATAAATATTACACTTGCTCATCTCTTATTCTTTAATCATAGTATTAGATTAAAAGATATAGATAAAGTTAGCTTCATTTGGCTCAGTGGATAGAGTATTGGCCAGTGTACTGAAAGGTCCAGGGTTCGATTCCGGCCAAGGGCACATACCTTGGTTGCAGGTTCCTCCTTGGCCCAGGCCCTGGTCAGGGCTCATACAAGTGGCAACCAATCAATGTGTTTCTCTCACATCAATGTTTCTCTCTGTCTTACCCTCTCTCTTCCACTCTCACTAAAAATCAATGAAAAAATATCCTCAGGTGAGGATTAACAACAGAAAGATATAGAAAAGGTTAAATATAAGCATTCAAGAAAATATTGAGGGAATTTGTATTCCTAAGTGAATGCCCTATGTGCATGTATTAAAACTTGATTTTCTACTGGTAAAAAAGAAAATATTTAGAAATTCAAGAAAATTATTAGAATATTAAAATATAAAGAAGGATATTTTAGATTAAATTTATAAATTACTATGTTATCCTAGTGTACTTATATTTTTCCAACTAGAAAAAAATTATGATTGACTTCTAACTGATCTCATGAATCTAGGCTTTGTGAGGGAAAAACACAAACACAGTTGTGTGATTATTTTAAAAAGATTAGGTGAATTTAAAAAT